TTCCGATTCCATCGAGTTGGGCACAGGCCCCATTAAGCCACGAGATGTACCCGGCCGCCGACTCCTCGGGATCTCCGCGGACTACTCGAAGCTCCCTGCATACTCTGGCCATGGATGTGCAGCAACTCTTCAAGTACGAGTTAAACCACACCTCACGACCTCGGAGCGTTTCCACAGTCTGCTCTTTCTTCATGGCCAGCATGGTTCTCTCGAGCTCTGCCACTTCAAACTTCGTCTTCCAGTATTGGATACAACGATCTTGGCTAGCAAGGACACCCTCGAGATCTGCTAAACGTGATAACCACTAAGTCAAGCTATACATCTCTTTCGGGATATGGCTGACCTAGTCAGGTGGGCATTAAGGGGTGAAGGGACTACTAACCTGAGGAAGTCGTCGCCGTCCTTCCCTCTATATCAAGGGGTTGATCCACATGGTCAGGCGAGACGTGTGGTTCAAACTCGAGTACCGGAATTACTGCCAGTGACTCGAGCTGCCCGCGCTGCTGGACATCCTCGTGATCAGTATCTCTACAGAGGACAAAAGTTCCCGAGGTCAGCATACCAAAGTAAGCCGGGATAGTAATCGCACGCACGAAGGCGGTCAGAGTTCGAGTTTTACACATTATCTAGGAAATACAAGAAGTCCTACTCTTCAAAAAGGGGGAGAACAGACTCCCCCAGATCACCGACTTCTTCCATCACCTCCTTACGCGTGTCGCTGGCCGCCCCCTGGTCCAAGATCTCACGCAGATCGAGTTCAAGACGCGACAGCCTTACACACGCGAGGACATGACACGCCCCGGTGTAGATTCCGTTTGACGTCTCCTCCGCAATCCTAGCCGCATGCTTGGAGGGGATTTCCCCCATCGCCGTCACCAATTCTGCGAGAGAGGAGGTCAGCGAAAACTCATCGGGATTCACCGGGATCGTGGACGTGACGCCGCATTCCCCGACGAGCTGGTGAAGGCTAGTGTAGGTGACCCTCAACGAGCCCCGGATCTCAGATAGGTTGTTCCCGAGTTCCGACATTCGGTCCTCGAGCCCCTTCCGTTGTCGCTCGTTGCCGGCTGCCAACTCCCTCATCTTCGTGAGGTCTTCACGGGCTTCAACCAACTCGCACACCAGTCTGTCAGCACGCGCGTTCGCCGTCGCCGCTTCCGACCTCGCCTCCGCAATCTCGCGGTCGATGCCGCGAGCACCGGCTTCGAGGAGGCGCCCCATCTCGACTTGGAGCTCCTCCCAGGTGAGGACTGCAGCTGGCAGATCACGACCTACCGCGGGGTCGCTGACTGGGCCACTAGGCATCGCCTCCCGGCTCTCGGCTACGGGCACGACATCCGTTGAGGCCACGACGGGCGACGCACTGGAAGCTCCTCTAGACTTGGCTCGTGCAGCCTTTGTCCGCGCCTCCCTACAGGACGACCATGAGTCAGACAATAATCGAATAAGAAGCGCGGGGATTCAAGAATTCATCTACTTACTTCTCGCCGATCGTCACAATGCGTTGTCGTCGTGGAGGTGGGGGAGACGCGTCCGAGGCCTGAAAGACAATCAACGCAAAGTAAGGAAAAATCCTTCTTGCTGCATGATTTAACGACAAAATAAATTACCGAGGGGGTCGACGCCTTGCGACGATGTCCGCTTACAGACGAGAATTTCCTCGGCTTTGTCGGAACATTGCCACCGCTAGTGGTGGCAGCATCAGACACCTCCTTGACGACCTTCACTTTTAGAGATGACGCCACCTGATGGTCCGCGAGCGGTCCGATGACATCAGTCAAAGGAAGAGCCTACGCTCAATCAAGTCATAAAGTGATTTCGAAAGGAGAATGCAGGATGTTTATCGAATATACTTACGTTGATGGCTTTATCACGTTCCGCCGCCCCCTTTTCACAAAGGGGCACAGGGATGTCACTCACCGTGGTCGGGCCACTGATCATCACTTGGCCGACGCGGCGCTCCACGGTTTTGCCGCTCAGACCTGTTAATCGAGAACCAACCTTCGATAAGTCAAGAGGAATGCAAACACAAGTATGTCAAGATAAATGCGAGAAAGATACCCCGAGGAGAAACCCGGGTCGCGTCCTCTGACCCGGAATAGTTATAAGCTGGATGGGCCCGAGCCTGAAGCGGCTGGATCCACCTACCAACGAAGTCTGCAACGACTTCATATCCCGACAAACCCCGTACTCGGAGATCGTCGATGATGTCGATAAACGACTGAAGAGAGGGGGTCAAGGGGGGCTTTGCGGTCCAAGACGGAATCTTATCCGGTTGATCTTCGGGAACCACAAAGACAGGGTTCGAGTTCTTGATCTCAAGATAAAACCACCTATTCCTCCACTTGCTGCGAGAAGAAGGCACTGGAAGGGAATGTAACGCGACTTCAGGCCATCCCGAAGTCGGAACCCGACGCAACCAGATACCCTGTTGGATTCCATCCAACACAGTTCGTAGTAAAAGCGAAAAAGATCAAGGAAAGGCTCTACCCCAATGTAGGCCTCGCAAAGATGCACAAAGATGCTGAGGAAGGCGATGGAATTGGGGTTCAAATGGAGAAGAGAAAGACCATAGAAATTCAAAACCAGGAGAAGAAATTCGGAAGGTGGAGGGAGAAAACCGCAGAGAACATAATCTTCGATCACAACCATGCGACCCAAGATGGGCTGAGGATTAGTACCTCATGCTTCCCTCTCCATGGTTCCACAGCCAGGAAGAGTGCCATCCTCCTGGAGTTTCTTCAACGTTGCACTGGTGGAAGCCGATTTGCCGAGGTCCATTGCTGATCGAAGGTCGCCGGAAAACGAGCCTAGGTTGACGAACTAGGGTTTCTTGCGGCGGCTGAGAAGGCAAAGAGTTCTTGGAGGTGGTGCGTGTATAACAGGTTTGGCGGACTTCAAAATGGACTCCCAAAATTCCTTTAAATAGGCGCACTACCGACGGTGCGAATTCCAGGGAACAGAGAGAGATGCCCACCGGAAATTTCTGGTCCCGTTACGCGCGGCGGTTTTTTGGACTTCAGTTTAAAATTCGCTCGTGACCGTTGGGCTTCAAATGGCGTGCTCGACTACGGTCTATCTCCACGGTCCTCGCACCGGGAATGACAACAGTCTCGACACCCGAAGTCGCAAATGGTTGCACGAGTTCATTTTAAGCAGAAGTCGGGGACTACTGTCAGGGTTACGGGTTAGGCATACCCTTTACCCTTCGATATACGTTACATATCGATATGGCATACCCACGCGCATGCGGATATTTCCTGTATATCCTAAGGAAACTTTTCACGGAATCTACAGATGGGAAGAATCCTACTCGGGCAGAACTGGGTCGTTGGCGTATCGTATAGGGTCTGATACCTCCGAGTTCTATGAGGAGACCTCCACATCTGCGATATAAAAGGGGCTCCCGGGGAGGGTTTAGGATCGAATCTTAGACCCAACACAACCTCCACAGCCTACGAAGCCGAAGCTTGCAAGGAGCCAAGTCATCGAGAGCTAGTCGAATCAACTCGACTACAATCTCGCCGGATCCGACAAGTTCCCTTGTTCTCTTTGTAACCTATGTTTTTTACCATATAATCCCACATCAACTGGATTAGGGCTATTACCTGTCAAGGGGCCTGAACCAGTATAATTCTTGTCTTTTGTTTGCTTGATGTCGTACTACGTAGATCCTTGTACCAACGTACCCCAATACCCTCTATATCCGGTCTACGGGTATCACCCGTCGACAGTATTAACCGCCACCAACTCTACTACTTTATAGGCATGTTACTTAATTTATCTCGTCATGTGTTTTAGATGGTCTTTTCTTTCAATAGTCTTTATTTTTATCACAAATTTTAGTTGTTTATAAATTTTATTCCTAATTAAAATATTTTTTTTCTAATTTCAGAATTTATTTTTTTCTAAAAAAATTAGTTAATAACGTATTGTGTTCTTTTAATGTTTTTATTTTTTATTTTGAATTTTAGTTGTTTCAAAGTTGTATTCCTACTTGAACTCTGTTTTAATTTTTCTATTTTTGGATATTATTATAATTTTATTTGAAATTTTAATTAATCTCGTGTTGGGTTCTTATATGGTTTTTCTTTAAATATTGCTTCTTTTTAATTCCGAATTTCAGCTAATTTTAAATTGTAATCCTACTTGAACTCTTCTTTATTTTCTTTTGCTAATTTCAGATTTATTTTTATTTTTATTCTGAATTTTAATTAATCTCGTATTGGGTTCTTATATGGAATCTTCTTTTAATATTACTTATTTTTAATTCCGAATTTCAGCTATTTTTAAATTGTATTCCTAATTGGACTCTCTTTTCCTTTTCTAATTTTAGATTTTATTTTATTTTTATTTCAAATTTTAATTAATATCGTATTGGGTTCTTATATGGAAACTTCTTCCAATATTGCTTATTTTTAATTCTGAATTTCAGCTATTTTTAAATTGTATTTCTACTTGGACTCTCCTTTCCTTTTCTAATTTTAGATTTTATTTTATTTTTATTTCGAATTTTGATTAATCTCGTATTGGGTTCTTATATGGAAACTTCTTTCAATATTGCTTATTTTTAAATCCGAATTTCAGCTATTTTTAGATTGTGCTTCTACTTGGACTCTTCTTTTCTTTTTTTTTCTTTTTCTCCGATTAATGTGGGAATTTCTAGCCCCCACAGCGAATGTGGTGACTCCTTTCAAAGCTGTTTTAATAATATAATAGATAGATAGATTTTTTGCTGTGAATCTGGACAACTGTTTATCCAGATTTATAGCTAAAAATGCTTATATTTTGGGACAGATGTAGTAATTATATATGTATTACATATTAAATAAATTGATTATAAATGATTTAGAGGTATTTCCTGCTATACTTGCTCTAAAGATAACAACTCAGATAATGATGAGCTAGTGGCAAGCGCAAAATGGAAGTTAGGAGGACGAAAATATGGTTCCAAACAGAAAAGCCAAAGGCTAGGATTTATTCTAATAGCGCTTTAAGATACGTGCAGGCCGCAACACCGGATCGACCAAAATCCGCAACATGATATCGGAATCCGCCTTTGCGAAGCGCGGCGGCGGTGAGGTGGTGTGGGCACGCCACCGTCGGCAACGACGAGGCGAGTAGCCGAAACGGGGAGGAGGAGGAGGAAACGGAGGCGGAGGGAGGCGCGCAGGCGTCTGCGCCGATCAGGTCACGGCGCCGCTCTGGACCCTCCGGTACGTCTCGTCTCCTCTGTCCTTTGCTTTTAATCTCTCCGATCAGGGAAGGCCAACGCGTCCACGCTACATACTAACCCTCGCGTAATCGAAATCAGTCCAAAGAGGCGTCAATTCCTAATCCAATTCAAACGGGTGGAGAGGTTAAACCTAGATCCTACTCCAAATTCCGCAAGCCACAGCCGCACAATCCAGATGCAGTTTACTGTTCAGAGCTGGTCTCTCAAAGTCTCAACCCCTTTTTCTGATTTTTCTCCATGATCCCCATCCTATCCACGCCAGTTCATCGAGCAGTAGCATATTTCTATCTACTTCTACTGTGTCCTATTAACAATTTGGCGGCAGAGCTGACTATTCCTTTATGTTCTTCATTTGGGTTGCTTGGAGTTGGAGAAGAGATTACCCCACCGTTTGTTCCATGCTGCTGTATTTTCCAAAAATCATGCTCTCATTGGCTTCCCACCATTTCTGCGCCTGATCCTCTCCAAAGTGCTTCCGACTGCGAGATTGAAAGAGTTAGTTATTGCAAAGGTAAGACATGATGCCATCGTTGACAACTGATTGATTATAATCTAGGTTCTTGGGGGATCTCACCTGAACCGGATGCGCTTGATGCACTTCTTCCCACCGGGGGATGTAACCACTGTCGCGTAAACCCCGCGCTCGATCTGCTCGATCACACCGTTGGAATCGGTAGGAGCAGTGGTGGCATCTGTTCCCTCGGTGCATCTGGTGCTGCCGTTGGAAGTTCTTCTGCAATTCTGATGCGTAACCGAGTAATTCGCCATGGAAGCAATTGAAGGTTGTGTGCATTCCCTATCCACCTGCCTGCTGTTGTGGTGATCTCTGTTGCTCTTCGACTGTTGAAATTCGCTGGTGAATACATTTTTGTCAGGTGGGTCTGGTAATTCTGCTTTTAGTGATTTTGCACTGGCGATGTGGCTAGGCATGATTCTGGAGTTGTCTAATTTCTCACCAGCCAAAAGGTTCTTTGATAAAAAATCATGCTGCACAATTGGGCACCCCACACAACTTATTTAGAAAAAAAAGCCGGTAAATCTGTCAAATGGAGATAGGTCATCGGTTTTATACCTGATCGATCAAAACCTTAATTATGTCTTTAGCAGCTTTGCACTTCGCAGCCTCATCCTTGGCAATTAACCAAGTCTCCTCGACTTTTCGTTTGTACAGCTGAACTTTCAGGCTCCTTTGGCGGCACTGTTTTGCAAGAGTAGTTACCTGCTTATATAAAACATAATTTCCATCTTTATCACTAAATTATACGTTGCATACCAGAACAAACATTCAGTGAAAACAAATAATTTAAACAGATCCACGAAACATGTTTATTACAGAGAATATGGTATGTCAGTTACCTGCTCTTGAAGCTGTTTCACTTCTTCCAATAATATATTTTCCATCAAGTCTAATTCCGCTTTTGAATCATTAGCAGATTTGAGCAAAGAGCTGGCAGGTTTAGGTGCCATTGTCTCATTCATTACCCGTACAATAGAACCAGAGACTGTCTGTTTATTCAATGTTGAACAATAAGGAATGCTCTCTCTCACACATCTGAATTGACTGGGGCACTCTACTAGGCCCCATCTTAATGTCCTCACATGATCTGGCACAGCCAAATTCTGACTTCTCTGATGGGGGCTTTGTGCTGATGCCATTTTCTCCATAATTGCATTTGCTTCCTTGAATATGCGCGCCAATTTTGGCGTATATGATCTTATTTCTATTGGACATACCTCATCCTTTTGGATCTTCTGTTGTGGATCTAATTTTCTATGCTCCTCAACTTTCTGCATTTGACTGAAACATGCATCACAAACACGGTACCTTTTGCTCCTATCTGGTGCAAGAGCTGCTCTGGAAACCTTGTTATTGCTGCAGGAATTGCAGAACATGGAACCACAGTTGTAACAGTTGTGCTTCTTCCTCGTAAAGCCAAATGTTAGCTGGCAGTTGCTGCACACAGATTGGTCCTTGCTTGAGAGTGGCCTATGTAAACAAATTGCCATAGTGAAGTTGAAACCACAAGCTATACTATGCACCTGCTTGTCTTCCAAGGCCTCGACCAGAGTCGGGTAGCTCCTGTCAACATAGTCACCTAAACCAAGTTGCCCTTCTGTTCCTTTGCCCCATGTAAACACCTTTCCATTCATTGTCAAAACTGCTATATGTGAAGAGCCTGATGATATCTCTCTGACAAACTCTGTCTTAAGTGGCCCCTCAATTAAACAAATAGATGTGTCCTCAGACAGAGGGTTCCCTAATCGTCCGTGTTCCTTGCTTCCAATGGTAAAAACAACACCGGTTATTGTAAGCACAATGGTTTGTGCTTTTGCACAGGATACCTGAGCAAAATCAAAATCATTGAGTGGCTCAACACAAGTTGGTACAAGTTTCATCTTTTTGTCAGCATGACCCAGCTTCCCTCTATCCGCATCACCCCATGTGAACAGCTTCCCACTAGGAGCATTGCTCTTGACAGTGCCCATTCTTTCTACAATAGCAGCTGTGTGCCATGGTCCACACGCAATGGCCTTGGCTCGTACCCCTTTCAGGGACTCCACTTGTTTGGGCCGAGCAACGGTCAGCGTGTCACCATGTCCAAGAACACCAAAGGTTCCATCTCCATATGCGAAGAGCTGGCCAGCAGAGGATATGATAGCCGTGTGCCAATGACCACATGCAATCTTCAAGATTGAGATGCCATCCAAAGGACCAAACAATTTATGTGGGAACCATTGGCTTCTTTGATACTGATCACCCCACAAACCCAAGCAGTGAGTCCCTTCACCCCATTCATAAAGTTCTCCTGAAATTGAAACTGCACAGGTGTGCTTTGCTCCAAATGCAATAGCCTTCACTCGTGTAGAGGCAAGAGACTCGATAATTTTAGGATCTGATACACTGACACTCACTTTGTGCCCCAATCTCCCACCATTATCCACACCCCAGGAGAAGACCTCTCCCTGCTTAGTAACTATCGCTGCGTGTTTCTCTCCACAAGCAACGCTCTGCACATCAATAATATGTGTCGTGTTTAATAACCTTGGAAGTGAAACATTGGCTTTTGATACATCTCCATGATCTAAAACATTGCCAGGAACTTCTCCCCAGACAAAGATGTCCTTCAGAGAAGTTGCTCCATATGCAACATGTAACCCCTCAGATGATTTTTGTTTAGGCAGTTGGGTAATTATTTGCTCGTTAAGTTTGTCAGCAACTTTTATATCCCTGCAACTGTGTTTTACCCTATTAACCACATCGGGAGTGACCTTTTCCATGTAGTAGTCTAGGTCTGACCATGTCCTCTGCCTTGGAGAGAAGAATGGTTCTGAGAAATCCAGATTGCTTTGCAAAACATTTTTCTGCATCAGCCTAGGACTGCCATATATTGAGTGTACCTTGATGGAGAAATCATGTAGAAAAACATGTCATTTCAACTAAAAAGGTGAAACACACTTTGTAACTGAGAACATAGGGCAACTTATGACCAATCGTAGGTCGTATCGCTCTACTTAGTTTCATGATTTGCAAGAAAAAAAAAGAGGTGTCGCTTATCATTTATGCAAAAGTCTGTCAATGTGGTTGTCATTTAGCTGTATCATTATTGTTATATTTGGATAAGAACTAATTAGTTGAAATGAATAATATTTCAACACAACTAGCATGACCATCATTTGAAATATTACATATTTACAATTTCCTGAGCCTATGGATCAAATCGTGTTACTTAGCATAACTTAGGAAAAATCAAAACACACTTGTAGTTGTGGTAAGTTGCAAAATTATCACATAGAAATCACAGCATGCACAAGTTATAGAATGAACCTGTTTAAACTTTCTTGTGTCATGCACAGCAAATAGCCTACTCCTTTGCTGAATATAGCTAGGAGGGCTATTTGTACAGCTGTTTATCCGACGGCTACTTGTTGAGTCAATCAAAAGTACTGGACTGCATGGAACTGATAGTAAGGTTGTTAGGCCTATATACCAACATTCAGCTTGATCCCTATCTTTGCAAATCTGCGAAATGTGATTTAGAAAAATGTTACGGAAGGTAATAATGTGAAGGATAAAATTTACAAAGTCTAAACAACAGGCCTAGTGAGTAAAAATACCAAGTCAAGTGAACATTCACCATTCTTGTAGAAGACTGACAATGAGTGGGATTCCTTTTCTGGCCAATGCAGACGTAAAAGTTTTGTCTGTAAAATACTAGAATCCTCAGAAAATGAACGTGTTCTATCCTTAATGATGTACTATGGACAAAGAATAGCAATGTGCTTGAGAAATGAAAACCACATACTGTCTTATGTCCAAGAACTACACTTGAGACAGAGCTCAAGTTCAAACGCTTTTCCCTGTCTTTGGAATACCACATGAGCATTTTCTCATCCTGCAAAAGAAGCATGTTAATGTTATTTAGAGGCACAGCATCTTGAATTCTAATGTTTTAAAAAGATAAGACGTTAATGTGCAGTTTACTCAATCTACTTATCTGAACTGGATACGTTCCATGGGAACTGGGAAGAAGTAGATATTGCAGACCTAATTTTAGAATATTTAATATTCAAACATCATACCTTGTTGTGTTCATAGTGTTACAATCTTCTCTACATTACGGAAATTGAATTGCTAATTTCAGAATAAAGGATGGATGGTGGGAGTGCAGAGAGCTAGATTTGGAGTAATCTACTGACGTAGCTGTATGTATGGCCATAAATGTTAATCTCATTGTGACATGTCATCTGTTTATCAGCGGTGGGAAAACAAGGAACATCTTTGAAAGGTTGCGGAGGAACATCGTGAGATCTTGATATGCAGATAGATGAAGGAGAAGTGGATAACTGGGCGGAATTCATCTAAGAGTTCTGGTCATGGCTCTGCTCAACGGAACATGGTGAAGAACTTGGAAGCCAAAACAAACTAAGTAGCATCAGTTAATTTACTTGGCATGAGCTTCATGCGGACTTAATTTTTATTTGTTTAATTCAAGTGGCTGAATAGTTATTATACTTCTTCCATCAAAGTTCCGTGCATTAAGTAAATAAGCCTGTAATGGAGTCATTCATGTTAAATGTTCAGAACATTCAGATTAACACAACTAAATAAATATCTCATAGGCACTGAACATATGTTTTGCTACATGTCTCTAGTCGTCACTAGGTTGCATGCGTAATCCATGAAAGTTAATGAATAAAATCGATCTTTAGCATGCTGCTAAGCATAATTACAGTAACGAAGCTACTCACTGAAGATAGCCTGAATGGGCATAACTTGGGCTTCCCTCTCTTCCCACATTTCAGGAGATGTGCACCCTTCTTCAGAGCAACAAGCGCCTGAAGGAAAGAACCAGAAAATTAAATCGCGTAATGGAGGAAGATGTCCTTTTCAGGTTTGATGTCTTCTGTTATAAGTGAACCCCAAAAGGATACAGACAAGAAAATGAAATGACATTATATTAAGCGCATTTGGAACTTTGGGCGGCCACAGAAGCAAATGTCATGCTCACTCAACATCTTGGAAAAAAAATGACGTGCATATAGCTTACTATATCCTGAAAATGAAATAATGGTGTCTAATACTTTCTCAATAAGAATGCAGTGTTTATTGGCTCCTTGAAGACAAACAAGAAGAGCAAATCCATCCAACTTAGCAAAGATGCATTGTTGGAATTGTAGGAGAGCAAAAGAAGAATCATTGGCATAAGCATGAATATACCACAATGCTTTAAAAGAAGATGCAAAAGAAAAACGCTTCATGTTGCATACCTGCTCGACTCCTCTAGCTGCAGGGCTCCTCCCCTCAAAGCTCCCAGCCATTGCAGCCAGGAAAGACGCAGCAAAAGAAACGGAGAGCGATGCCTTGCCCCTGAGCTGAGCTCAAGTTCAAACCTCCTTTGATCAACAGTGGGAGAAAGCAAAAGATGGCAGCAAAGTGACAGAAAGAAAGAACCACGCAAGGAAAGAAGCAAAGCAAGAGAGAGGACGGACGGACGGGGGCAGAGCTTGAGGACGGACGGAGGAGGGAGAAGAAGCAGCACCGTCACTGAAGGCGACCTGCGCAATTCAGGGGCCCCGGAAAAGGAAACGGTGGCAATTTTATTAACTGCTGGGTTTAAAGATGAGAGAGGCAGGCAGTCAGTCTTCGTTCGACACAACCTGCAGAGGTAAATCCTGTTCTCCCTTTTGATTCTGCGCCCCTCGCTTTCCGTATATTTTCTCTTGGGTAGTGCTAGTGCGGCATCTCTCTGTAGTTTGTGACTTCGAGTGTACCGAACAGCAGTGGCATTTAGCTTTCCTCTGTTAGCGTGAGTAGGCGCTTCAGAAATCTTGGATTTCATGTCAAATCTCAGGATTTGCCACAACTGCATGCCACAAGCCCCGGAAAACCTGGTCACTGCCTTCCTTTTCCCTAGCATCTCTTCATCAGTCGGTACATTAAACTACCTCAGTTTTGCTGAAAATCTTGCATAATTGGATCATCCGATCTCTGATTACCATGATCAGCATTTCTCAAAGAATGCATCGAATAACAGAATTACTCCACTACCGTAACAACCTTACATTGTTTAAAATTCACGGGCATCCGATCTGTCTAGGGTGGCCAGTTAACCATCCTTGGCTCCTTGCCCAGCTGTGGTCCAGAAACGTGGTACTAGTATCGTGATCATGAGTTTGGACGTTTTAGATAGTAATGAGGTTGGATTTGCAGAGGCAAGCATCCACGCACTGCTGTTAGGATTTTGGGACAGCACATGATGGTCCGAAAGAAGAGACGATGGAGGGGGGTAGTGATGCAGCACGTGTGCAGCGTAGGCAGGCGCTGCCCCCGTTCTGGCCTGCACAACTGTTTGGTCACTCCTGTCTGCAAATGATGCCGTCTCGGTCGCTTTTGCTGACTTGATCTTGCTGGGGTACGTTTTTTCTCTCCCTTTTTCTCCAACGAGCAGCGATCGTGACGTCTTCGTAGCTCATAATTTCGTATTCTACCTTTCGTCTCCCCAGTACTGTATGTATCAGTATCACTGCCTACAAATGTACTATGTCTACCGGTGCTACGTGCATTTATGCGCTCACCTTTGCTCACGACATGTCTATTCATTGCGCATTTATCCTATTGCAGTCGTACTGTGATCAGTTGTACTGCTGGTGCTGCTTTGGTCGTGTGCATCCCCAAGGATTTTCTGCGGTGTCCACTGATCAGGTAGGAGTTGAATTCGTCACCTTGTTCTCGCAAAGGTTAGTGTTAGTGTTTTTGCAAGGGTAGATTGCTTATTAACACCAGTGGTCATGGAGCCATGGAGATGCTTAAGGTGACGATGTTGTTACAGCTGGAAGTGAAAAGATGGATGGTGGGGAAGAAAAGGTAGAGAAGGCAAGTAGGCATGTGAAAGCACCAACGAGACAAGCATGACGGGCCAAGGGAAAAGATAAAACTTGTCCTGCCTCCTCAACAGCAGTAAATGTGTTGATTTGTTCCCCTTGCATTTCCCGTGTAGCGTCATGGCATTGGCAGTAACTCGTGGACGATTTCTCTAGCGATTGTTACCCGCTGTTCATGCTCAAAATGGCACCATAATCTTATACACAGCCCTACTCTTGTTCTGCAGCTATTTGCACTTGTTCTGCACCTACGGTCTCAAAAAAGGCATATTTGTATGCCTCCTACACGGGTAAAAACAGGTGCAGCAAATAGTACCAGTAAGTCCAAATTAACCCTTTTATTACTGTGGATGAGACAAAATGTAGGAGCTAGCTGTCTGCTGGCATGTGGAGTGACTGGAAGGCATGGCATGTGAAACTTGTGAAGCCATACAGTACGAAGTAGGTGAAAAACATACACATCCCCTCACTGGGTATAAAGTTTGATTTGGCCTAAATTGAGGCCGGTGGTTGCGCTACTCGTAGGCACGTACTACATACATCGGGCACGGTCCCGAATAATTGCGTCAAATCGGTCGCTGGTGATTGGCACAATGGCACGTACTAGGAGTACGTCTTGCTGAGTTCCTGTCATGTGACAGGGTTCTGTGCAACTCGGTGTTGTTGTGATGCCATTAGATGGAGAATTTAGGACGTAATGCCTACGTGCATTGCACCATTTACTTTCTGTAAGTGCATGCACCTCGGCGGAACCTTTATGAGAGGTTCTCTCTTTGGAACATGCAAGAGTGAATTAGTGGACAATAATGCCAACATTGGTTAATTTAGTTAGTCCATGTAGCTCGGACACATGCCGCATCCATGGCTGATGGCTCCACCGCTCCATGTATCAAATTGGCTTTTCGTGCATGCGATGAGTTGCTAGTCTCCTCAACTCTCTCGCTCTTAGAAGGATTATATTGCAATTGTACGTTTGTATCCATTGGATGCATACACGCGCAGGTGAAACTTTTTTTTTTTGAAATTTTGAGCAGATGAAAGTGAAGAACAGCATGCAATGCAGGGGCTGATCCGTGATCTTTGTACGGAGTTGTCAAAATGCGCCTCAAAGCTGTCCTTGGATTATACACAGATACACTTACTAGCTGTGTCCACGCATAAATACATACGATGGCCTACGCGGCTGTCCATGTCCTACCATCTTAGGTTCACAATATTGATCTGTTAGCCATGTAGGAGTAAGACTCTGTTTGGTTTCCAGGACTTATTCCAAGTCTCTGTCACATCGGATGTTTGGATACTAATTTAGAGTATTAAACATATACTAATTACAAAATCCATTCCATAAGCTTGGACTAATTCGCGAGACGAATCTTTTAAGTCTAATTACGCCATGATTTTGACAATGTGATGCTACAGTAAACTTTTGATAATTATGGATTAATTAGGCTTAAAAAATCGTCTCGCGGATTAGCTCTCATTTATGAAATTAGTTTTTTTATTAGTCTATGTTTAATACTCTAAATTAGCGTTCAAACATCCGATGTGACATGGGCTAAAAAGTTTTAGTCCCATCTAAACACTTCCCGAGGAGTAGGGACCTCTCCCAGCTCATGACATGCGTCCTTGCTTGGAGTGTGTCCTAGCGGTAATAATTCTATGTCAAAAGAAGCACCGCTGGAGTGATCAGAGAACTGCACGCTCTCGCTCTTTGAAGCACTGCATGCGTGATGCGTATGCGTTCGTGTTGGGTCCCTTCTAATGAGTAGTGATCCATGGTCTACCGGCAAAGCCTAGTACTAACTCGCACCAGCATAATCTTGATGGTCTTTTATTAGATAACAAGCTACTAGGATACATCTTTGATCTCTGCATCATCAGTAATTCATATAACCATAATCTCGATCTGTGCCTAGCATCATCTTTGATTCTTTACATAGAATCCACATTTTAACGAATGGCATTCGAGTTATTAAGGCCTACAAGTTCAGATGGGTTGCATGCTGGGTTTACAAAACCGCACGATTATCATGCGGTTACTATGCATGGTAACATTTTCAGTTTTTAAAACCATGATATGTCTCGCGGTTACCACACAGTTTTCACGGTAACCGCGCAGTTACCACGGTACGTAACCACCTTACCATGGGGGTGTGATAACCGCGCCAATAACAATAAGGGAAACCCTGGTTGCATGCAGAGTACAGTAGTTTGAGCAGCAGCATGCATGGGAAAGGAGGCAAACAATGAGGTGGAAAAGGAGGGACACGGATGATGGCCGCGGTTTCCCGGGCACGGGCACGGCCACGCGTGCCGGACGGGGCGTGAACAGAAGCCGCGCCCGTGGTGCCGGGAAGGAACAGCAACAGCCTGGCCCGGCATCGCCCGTAAATGGAGAGTTTGGGTACTTGGGTGGGTCACCGGCGGCTGGACCCTCGCATGTGCATGTGGTGAAGAAAATGGAGTTTGTTTGTGTGGTCTCTGTACTTGCTTGTATGGTTCGTGCGTGTACATGCCGAGCACCCTGGTTGCTCGGTGAAAGCTTTAATTGGATCACGCGATAATTCTCACTTTACGGATTGATTTGTATATAACTACTCCATCCGATTTCTTAATTCTTGATTGATATTTATCATGTTTTAGACCTGGGTTAGGAGGAGAGGAGAAAAGGCATCGGGTGCATGAGAAGGAGGCGGAGTTCTGATTGCCGTGAAAAAAAAGACATACGTATTAGGGAATGACCTAATATCAAATAATTAGAAGGAGTGAGGCTTTAAACTCAGATCGTATAGCCCACCACCTTGTGAAGCTAGCCGGAAAACCCCTGGGCGTTTCTCATTTAGATCACCAGGATACCAGCCACCTTCATCCACCTAGCAGAAATGAATGCCTGGTACGAGTTAGGGAATCCGCTGTTGTCTTCTTCCTGATGCTTCGCCTTCTCAATTGACCTTCTCTATGTATGTTTTGGCACGCGCTGGTGATGGTGCATGTGGGTAGTGGGCGGCGGTGGTATCGGGAGAGGAAGACTGCGACACCTGATCTTGAACAAGCTGTCGCCTATCACTGTTCATGGCACTGGCATGCATATCCTCCAATCCTCGACCCGTGGAAAGGTGGTGCACGACCAGTGTGGCACACAGGCTGTGCACATCCAACTGTCGTCCCACCCAATAGACCCTGACGTCAGTCTCCGTGGCTCCCTTTGCACCGAGCTCCTGCCGTCAGTCGTTTTCATTGTCCCACCGCTAGGTCTTGCATCAACTTACCGCTCCATCCCCATGGCGCAAGAAGACCTCCTTATGGCCCCTGGTCACCTACACCACCATCGCTTGTGCTATTCCTCGGCTCGTTATCGAGGAGGAGCGACGGCGGTGCGCACCTCGTGCGAGAAGCACACTACTAGGAAAACCATTTTCGCAAAACGAGACCCTTCCATTTTTCTAGGCGGGTATCATTTTCGGAACTAAATGTCCTCCTGTGAAAACGGCAACGGGGGATGGGATGCTCGTCCGCCTGTGAAGATGCATTTTGGTAGACAGACGAAAATGCATCTTCGCAGGCTTTTGCTTACAGGTGGACCGGACGGCCGGTCCACTTAGGAAAACCGTTTTCATCCGCTGGAAAAAATAGTTTTCCTAGTAGTGGCAGATACAAGGATGGGATCCCGTACTTTTGCATTTCCTATAGGCTAACACCTTTATCATCTCTAATCCTAGCTTATAGCAACACAATTAGTAGATATGGGATGGATAGCTAGGTAGAGAGTCTCCACACAAACAAATTTTGGTTGCTTGTGGGGGTGTTCCCGAGGCTTAGAGGGATAACCGAAGTAGTGGCGACCGGCGGTGGTGATGGTGAGGCCAGTGACAACTTTGTAGATTGGGAGAGGGCAGGGGATGAGTTTGGTGGCAGGAGAAAAGGGCGCCAACCAGTTAGGGCTGGACGTGGTAGATGATGGCAACGCTCGTTGCTGGAGGCTCGGAGCGATGATTAACCTTCTTAATCACTTCGGTCATTAATCATCCAATATATGTCAGATGGCGACTACAATGCAGTGTAACGTAGGAAGACTAATTCATTAACAAATATTGTGTGTTCATGTATCACCTTATCTGACGTGTCTTGAGTGATCAATGACTAAAGCGATTGACAAGGTTAGTCGTCATTCGCTATATCAGCTGTGGTGCGGGGGAAAATCTGGTTGCCCAAACAAAGCTCGTCAGAGGGAGGCTGTGGTTGGCATCCGAAGGTCCAAGAGGAATTTTGATTGAAAAAAAAAAAAAGAGAAGTGCACAGGTCCGAGTGAAGTCCGAGTCAGACACCTCACAGTAGGGCAGACGAACGTGGGCTGTTTTAGACGCATTTGTGCGTGTGGCCCGGACACGCGAACATTCGTGCATTAGCCCCCAACCCGTGCATCCTGCCTGCCTGCCTGTGCACGTTCTCACTAAAGCCATGGGACCGGCAAGCGTCGCATCCTCTTTAGGCCAGTCACAATGGGGGTTTCACTGGTGTGTCATGCACATTTAATAGGGGTAAGACTGAATAAAAAATGATTATTTGCATGAAATGGGGATGAGAGAGAAGGAAAGAGTTTCATCCTGGTGAAACTCGTCAGCGTCGTTTCCAAGTCCTCGGTAACAGAGTGAAACCCCCGTTGAGGCCGATTCGTTTCATTCACCGGATCTCTTGCGTCCGCCTCCGCCGTGCGACCTCTGCATTCTCCCGCGCCGCGCCGGATTTTGGGTACAAATGATCCCAGCAACTTGTATCAATTAAATGCTTTGCTTAGTCTTGGAAACGTCAAAGTGAAACCCCTCCACTGTGGGGATTGTTTCATAAAAGATTTCATTTGAGAGAAGATGGTATAATATTTTGGGTAGCCGTGCAATGACACTAGCCATTGTGACTGGCCTTATATAGTTGTACACACTGGTACAGTGGTACGTGCCTACACTGCCTGTGCTACGTACTGGCTGCCGGGGGTCGGTGCAACCGTGGGCGGCGCGCCAACCTGTTTCGAAAAAGTCACCACTAGCTCGAAGCAGAGGGAATCGATCAGGGTGTTTTTTTTTTTTGAACCATCAGGGTGTATCACTTGCACATACTCCATCGTTTCTTCTTATATTAAAAAATTTACCCTGGCTATGAATATAAACAAATTAGTTTTTTCTGATAATACTCCACTCAGAATTATTCATCCAGAAACTCAAGCACGAAAAAGACAACATACATACCGGACATTAGCTCTTTCTAAAACATATATAATAAACTTGCCAAATAAAAATCAATAGTTTGACTATGTCGAGTATGAGTACAGATTACCCCCTCTGTCTAAAAAAAATAAATCAAACTCTAAATTAGGTATGATTACATATTACCCCTCCGT